ATAGGAGAGGTCGAAATTGCACTATACTCTGGATGAGAATATCCTTTGGGAAGCAAGGTAATGCAAAATTCAATGAAAGCGTAAGGTATGCTCATTGTGGGAAAATTCAACTACTGGTATTCCATCACCTTAAACGAAATAGGGTGAATATATGTCACTTTAAGTGACCTAGACTACGTTGAGATCTTATACTTGACAGGATATCGACAACCTGGCAGCCTGCCTATAGTAGAAGTAATACTACATAGTAATCAAGGGCATTGAAGAGAAACATTTTGTATTAAATGAAGCAGGAGTATGCTACGACGAAACTAGAGAATTAGACGGAAAGCTGAAAGAACTGTTTGATAATTTTTACTTAGGCCTTACAAGACACTGTTCAAATGAGATTATTCAGGCTTCGCATATGAGCTTCTCCTAAATATGTGGTTTATGCCTAGCCGTGGATGGTCTCTGTGATCTAGAGACTTGCTTCCTTCTTTTGATGGCTGACCTTTTGAATGGACTGAAAAATGAGCATGCTGTGCTTTACCTTGGTTAAGAAACATAAGAGTCACTTCTTTAAACTCTATGATATTAATTATATTTCAGTAATGTCCTATCTGTTTTTTTCTTGTTTTCGATGATCCTCCTTATATTTTATCTGCTAGATTTGGACTTTCTGGCTCTTCTAATGTGCAAGGCGAAGAGGTGAAGAAACTTGATGTCCTGGCCAACGAACTTTTCATTAATATGCTGAAGTCCTCATACACCACTTGTCTTCTTGTGTCCGAGGAGAACGATCAATGCATTGTTGTGGAGCCAGAAAAGCGGGTAAGCCAAGCCCTATTTGCCTACTATTTTAGGGCAATCCTTCTTTAGTAACTGCAGAAACTCATTCCGCCTACCAGAAAACGACCTATATTGTATTCGCAACTACTTTGCCTGAAATCTGTACCACTGACAAAGAAGCTGGTTGGCATTTAGACGCGTTTATCAGGAATCTGAGGAATAGGAATCCGCTGTAGTCTTATGATGAGATCCACCTTCAAATCTCTTCATAACTCACACTTTCACTCAGAATGGAAGTGAGATCAATTATTATAAGCCAAGAGATTCCCTGAACCACAATTTTTCAAAAATTATGATCACTCTGACTTATGACCGGTATTTTGTACTCCTATTTCCCTGCTTACTGGTGTTAACCTACGCACTTCGAAACGTAAGCTCAGCCTCTTTTCCGCCGAAACGAGAAAGGATGTATCGTATAGCATATTAACCTGGACTTCCTAGTTAAACCAAATGATTACAGGATCAAAACAATTAGCTGTCGTTTTCTGGTGAGATCGACCCACTAATCTTTCCCTCAGACGTTTTTATACAAAATGAAAGTCTCCACAACAAAGTTTTCGCTGTGCCGGTTGTGAAGATAAAAGACAAAGAGACTTCAGAGAAGCTTCCGTTGCCAAATACTTTGTTCTTCATGGCCTGGAGCTTCGGATAATTGTCCTAGTTTCGAAAAAGTGCCTTCTTTATGGAATGGACTGTGCGGATGTTTTGCAGTCTGGTTTTAAGCTCTATCATCAGAACTGGCTTAAACACTTCATTCGCACAACGCACCTGCATCGACAACAAACATACTCTGGTTTATTTATTTAGGAAAACAGTAGACACCATATTCATATCCTTTCTATGCCTCAAGTCTTTTAACTCCAAGCATCTCAGGTAATTAGTAAGTGATAACTTTAGTAACCTTAGGCCGCATAAGGTGATGAGGGACCACAATGATGTGAGAAGGTCTTGCAATACTATTAAATCTTACTTGATCTTGCCTCTCTTAAGGAATTCCGATCCTCGCTGTACTAGACTGCAGTTTTAGCCCCGCCTGAACTGGTCTCATCAGCACTCAATGAGACTCGAACCCGGCCAGTGAAGCGTTTATCTTCAAATCGTTACCACTGCACCACGCCTCCACGGATGTCAGTAGGTCATAAGGCAGACGACGTTTAGGGCAGGCCAGCCACTACAAATATATGTAGTAAAATTGTCGATTAGGCAAAGTTATATTTTGCCATTACAATCGACCACGTTTGTTGTATTCATTTTGGTAGTTTTAAGACTATTATGATCTACTAATACTGGTCTCTAAACCACTAAGTATGACGCAGCTAAAGAACATCTAGTATGCCTTATTAAGACCGCATAATTAGGCATAATAAGTGAGTACGATGGCAACCGGCCACCCTTATTGCGTTAGTGTTTCGTTGACCCTTTTCCAGTTTCCGGTAAGGCCAGTTTACGAATACCTTTCCCTCTACTTTTCAAAGGATATTAAATCTAAACAAGCATGCACTTATCAAGGGAGGCTTCGACCAGTCATATAATATAGACAATAAACTGGGAGCTACTGTCATTAGATACTTTGCGCATAGTGACAAAAAAAGATCTCTCCTTGGTGCGCAGGAGAGTAGGCCTTATTTTTCAGGAGTGATGTTTCCTAATTTTGGACCCATCAAATAATTTTTGCCCGGACGCTATGATTGGAGACCGTAATTTTAGGAGGAGAGGGATAGTCTATCATTTTTTGATAGCATTGTGAGTGAGGAATGTACTAAATTGAGTACAGATGTGTTTAGGAAAACCACACACCGGGTTTGCCTTAAATCATGCACGTGGGGGAAAAAATAAGAATTAGGAAATCTCTAATACTAGAGAATCTGCATTCAGCAACTGTAACTCACAGGAACCTGGAAATTGAAAAATCAAGGAGTGTCAATTCAAAACAATTGGACACTAGCATTAATATATAATTAATAGTCCATATTCATAACTGGAATGAGGGTAAATTGCTATTCAGGTCGAGGTGGGCTGATACATGACTCGGCTCGGTTTATATTGTCGCTGCCCTGTAAGCTTTCGAAAAAGTTAGGTGAACTATTAATCATTATAGCAAAAAAACATTTTACAAATAGAAACCAACACGTCCCTTAGTTTTACCTTCTTTTTGAGAATTTTCGGACCCTATTTATGGATCAAGGTACTCGTATGAGGGTATCTATGTGGGTAAGATTGCTGATCCAGCCAGAATTGATAATTTAAATAAAAAAATACATGTAGACGACCGTTGTGATCTGATTCCAAAAGAATACGCTCAGCTACATGATACGATTTATGAGCTCTCGACCCGATCAATAAAGATAGATCGAAGGTATAAAGACTAAGATAGTGGCCTTTGTATGTTCACAATCTCCTTTCGTTGTATAGAAGTTGTTTGACCTTGTTTTTGGTCATATTGGTAGGAAGACTTAGAGGAATGCACCTAATCCGCAGTCCATAGTATGCATGATAATTTCCAGTCGGACCGTGGACGTGGTAGATTACCAGAAGTTTTGCCGGCATCGTCAATGAGTCTTACCAGTCTTAGCACCACACTACAACTCGTCAAAGAGACCAGTGAGGCCGATCCCTTGACAAATTGCCTGCTAAACAATTGTGGTATCTCTCCTTCCCCCCTGGGCTAATTATCAATCCTATATCCTCGTATCATGTCTTTACTATCAAAATTTTTAATTGCTTATTTAAATGTGGTATGTTGTGCCCTTTTGGGCGGATTTACTGAGAACTCTCCAAACCCCACTTTGGCTTTATCATCCCTTCACTCCGCAAACCTTTTCCAATAGGGCTTATCAGAGTCTCCCTCTTGCCCCGTAGGATCTGCCTCCTAACTTCCTGGTTGAGGTACTTCACTCGACCCCTGCCACGCTATCTGTACCACTCGAACGGTTTTTTCCCACTGTCTCAAGCCTTTGATGGCACGCATACTCCCACCTCGCTTAGTAGGCCCCTAAATATCAGGATTCTCAAGCTGGATGGGAGACTATCTTGAGGCTAAATAGCCCAAGTAATTTTCATGGTCAAGCCTTTGCTTGATGGACCACGTCTGTTGTTCGATTTAGCTCTAGACTCCGCCGCATCTATCGTGCTTCTATTCATCGTGCCAAGTCTATGAATTCCTATGCCCTAGTCTCTTGTGTGCCAACTCACAAATGTTGTGGCTCTATTTGTTTTGATTGGGTTCAATCTAGTACCACAACATTTGTAGGTTGGCACACAAGAGGCTAGGGCATATGAAGTCATAGACTTGGTTTTAGGGATAGAAACAAGATAGATGTGGTGGAGATTAGATAG